ACAGTATTTATCTAATTTCAAGTTGTGCAGGTCTTCTAAATTGTATAGTATCTGTATTTCTACAGCTCAATCTTCAGACCACATTCTTTTCCTCTAGTACTCTTTATCCCTCTCATCCTTTTGTTTCTGGTATGCAAATTGCTCAGATTCAAGCTCTGTCATTTTTTCTTATTGTTCTTGTACAAGTTTCAGAGCCTTACTAACAACTTTAGAGAATATAGTAGTAGGATCAGATTTCTTGTGTTTCTTCTTGTTCTCCTTGACATCTACCTTAATATCCTTAAAGCTATGTCCAGAACTGAATTCAATAGGCCTCTCAATGTCTGGACGTCCATCTGCCCTAATAACAGGTAAGCCTTTGTATGAACCATACAAATTAAACAAGCCTAAGAGCTTGTAAGACTTACACTCAGTCAATAATAGTAAAGATTGCTCCTTCTGCAAATTTCTTACATGTTGCTACAGAAGTCTGTATGCCTAGTATCTCTCTGTCCCTATCACCTCCTCCTGTATGGTTTTGCCACTCTAACAAGCTCAGGTAAGCAATTTTAATGTACAACATAAATGAGTTACTCACTTTTTGTGTCCTTATATGTTCTAAACAACAAATACCACTTTGTAATCACTTGATTAGTAGTATATTGATCCAATATTGTCTAGGAAGCCTAAAAACAAGTTTAATAGTGTGTAGCACATAAAAAGTAATACAGAGAGGTGTCTACATACCTCTTGACAATACTTCTTAATGGAGGTCTGGGCTTTTGACTATCTTTCTAGTACACAAATGTATTTGGCAAGTTTCTTCTCATTCTCCTTGTCCTAAGACACTTTCCCCTTTGTGTCTTTCTGTTCAATGATCTCAGCCTCTTCCTTCAGTTTATTGTCTAACTGGCTTGTCTCTGTGTCTGAAATACTAGAAGGATGTGTATTCTTTCCTGATTGTAACCCTTGAAAAGAGTAAGTGTATGTTGTAGTAAAAATATGCTGAAAAGGAAGCCTAGTGCATAAAAAGTAATACAGAGAGATGGTGCATACCTTTCCCTTTCTTTCTCAGCACAGGTTTCTCTTTCTCCTTGCCCTTATATTTTGACTTCTCAGGTGCTGGAGACACACTTTCTTGTTTCAGCTATAGAGCTAGAGATGCATTGTGAGCTGAATTCTGTATCTGAAGACCTGGAGACTGTTGAAATTGTTGAGTATTGAATGCTAACAGAGCTGAAGCATTCTCAGGAAATTCTTGACCAAGTGCATGAGCACTTGGGGCAGGACTAGGTGAATTGGGAGACAAGAAACCTGGTTGAAGCTGGGTATGTATAGGAGTTGGCTAGTTAAATGCATACATTTGCATGCCTGGTAGAACTGTTACTAGTGTCTGTGGCTGATTTTGATGCTGAGAAGGATCCTGGGGGTTATTTGGGTCCATCTTAGACGTCTGAGGATGACAGGGGGACAATTTCTGTATTTTTTTTGTGTAACAGCACTCATGTCTCACATCTGAATCCAAAATTTCCATTTTGAGATTAAAATAATTATATTTAATTATATAAACATTATTATCTAAGTACTTGCAGATCCTCTGCAAGTCGTCACTTCAATTTTGAGGGACTTGCGCTGCACACAGG